ATTAATCCCCTTTCACCATTCCAATTCAACTAGGAGTAGGGAAGTTCATCATCTAGTGGTATATTAACAGGACAGCTTTTAATGCTCTCACCATCTATCCCCCTATGACAACATTATACTGTTCCCCTCCCTTCAAATCTACGAACTTTGATATACTGTCGAGGCTTATGGTCGGTCTCCCAGAGTTATTGGCAATTCGATGATCCCCTCAGGGATAACACTATCTCCTGTGAAGCCATACAGGGGTTAAGTGTTGCTTTATAGCTTTGTGAGCGGAATTCCCATCTTATTGACTCCATATAGATTATATCCATATAACTCTCGTTATCAACCAATATACGACATAGTGGTGCACTATTTCTAAATATGTAAGCCTTAACTCATATTGATTCCTTTTCCCTTTTTCCAATTTCACTGGGAGTAGGGAACTTCATTATCTAGTGGTATATTGACTGGACAACTTTTAATGCTCTCAGTGTCTATCTCCCTATGACAACATTATATTGTTATCCTTCCTTCACTACCAAGAACGTTGATAAAATTGTCGAGGCTTGTGGTCAGTCTCCTAGAGTTATTAGCAATTTGATGATCCCCTCAGAGATAACACTATCTCCTGTGAAGCCATACAGGGGTTGAGTGTTGCTTTGTAGCTTTGTACGTAGAATTCCCATCTTGTTGAGGTAGTTCGTATAAATTATGTTCACAGAACTCTCGTTATCAACCAAGATATGATAAACTGTATCGTTGCCGATCATGGCTTCAAAGACGAGAGCGTCGTTATGTGGAAATGCACCCCATTTGCATCAACTTCAAAGAAAGATATGTCGACCTCATCATATCGTGCTGCTATGTTTTCTTGGCCGGATATGGTCATTGTATGTTGACTAAACTTCTCTTTAGCTTCCCTTGCGTATTCCTTTTGTGTGCGTCGAGAGGTACCTCCAAGGATTGGTCTTACAAATATAGTTCTAATCACGCCTACAAGCTTTGGCATATTATCTTATCTCGAGGCATCTCGACGATCACTATTTCACCGATTGTTATTGTTACCTCAATGGTCGGCTCAATATTCATTGACCCTCCCTTCGCGGATTAGTCTTTCGATCTTATCCTTTAAGTCGAAGCATTCTGCGGTGGTGTGCCCACTCTCATCGTGAAACCTATAGTACTTACTTTAATTTCTTTTTGTCAAATCAGACGTGATCGGTGGTGGTCGAATCAGACTTGAGTGGTAGTGGTCAACGCAAAACCTGAAGATGACTAATCTCATGGTAGACATGTTCAATTCCCATAGTCAAAGGTGTGTAAGTGTCATACCTTTGTTGCGGCTTAAACCTCTTTGTGTCTCCTTGATTTGCAGAAGTGTTTCCGCCTATACTACTTGAAGTTGGAGTGGGATTATACTTTGGCTTAGCTTGCACTGTATGGTTTCCTCAGCGCTTTTTGTCGTCGTTCCGATTGTTCAAACTTGCTTTACTCCTTTAAGTGGCTAGCTTTCCTAAAAGATCTAGTTTCAAAAGGGGCATTCGATAGAGTAATCTAAGGCTTTTGAAAGACTTTCAAACTAACGCTTGAAAAAAAATATATACCACCTAATACAGCTTTCAATAAATATTCCTGCGCTTATTGTCCCGCATCCTCTTTCGCTGGGACCACCACTTTGCTTTTCATGGCACTTTTTGCCTCTTTAGCATTAATGAACTCATGTGCTCTAGTCAGGAATTCTTGGTACGTCTTGGGTGGTTTCCGATCAAGGTATGTGCTATATGGGATATCCTTTCTCATGCCAGTGAGAGCTCCCATTAGTGCTACCTCATCAGTGATTCCTTTTATGGCAGCCACTTGCTCTCTGAACCTTGCTATCTAATCCTTCAAGGATTTGCTTGGTCCTTGGTAAACCCTCGACAAGTTATGCTTTGATGAAATATACTTCTTAACTCTAATGAATTGGGTCAAGAATGCATTCTTTAAGTCATCCTAACTTGCTATGGAGTTGGACTTTAAGGATCTAAACCATATCCTCACTGAGTCAGAGAGGTGATTTCTGAATGTTCGGCACATGACCTCTTCTGGGTATCTATAGAGAACCATGTGTCCTGTGTAAACCTCTAAGTGATCATCTGGATCACCTCGTCCATCATAGAGCAGAATTGGAGGAGGCTTATATTTGTCAGGCAACGGGACTTTGATGATGTCTGCTATAAAGGGTGCTCTCGAAAAGTGTATGTCTTGGCGTCGACATGTACTGCCTCAGCCACTTCCCTAACAACTTGCTCAAAATTATTCAATTGACTTCCAATCTACTTTTCCAATTTTACCATCCTTTCAGCCAGGATCTTGTTTTCAGGCATAAGTTCTTCCTCTATAGCTACTTGCAACTCTTGCTCACGTCGAGCATTTAGTTGTTCCCTCAAGTCTCTACCGTGAACTGATGACAAGTCGACCGAAACAACGTTTCTCCGGTTTCCATTTGCCAGTGATCGTGGGGGTCTTTCTCTGTTGTGGTTCTTGGAGTCCCAACCTTCTCTTGGGCACTTCTTTGGGCTGCGCATTGTCTGCTTCCCACCGACCTTCGCGATCTTGCCGACCAAGGATTGAGGTTCCCTTCATTATCACTAGTTCCCTCAACATGACTGTACTGGTCACCTTTCTTTTGGTTCCCGACAGTGTCGTTTGCTAGGTTTACTGGCGCATCTTCTAGCGATGGCATGGAATCATGTCTCTCCTCACGCCTTGTCATGATCGTAACCATTCTCTCTACTGCTGCGATGAGAGTATCTACTTGTTGTTGAAGCTTATCAATATGGGCCTAAGCGTCCCCACTTTCGAAAACAATTTCCCCTTGATTAGGCTGATTTCCCAGCTCCAATTGGTTGTCTTTTGGGTGATTTTGTTGATTTCCCCATCAACCTTAGCATTTTGGCATTCTTGACTTTTTGGTTTGCTATCGTACTGCGAGTTCTTCTCAAAGCCATTATTCAGTAATTACTGCATTCCTTAATTCTTGATTCTTGGCCCTCCTTCTAGCGCTAATTATTGACTGAAAATTCGTCAACTCAGAATTTATCTCTCCGGGAATACTCTCGTTACGATTCTCACGAGTTGAATTAAAAATAAATGCAGAAAATAAATTTATAGTGGTTCAGTAAAATATTGTTGCCTACGTCCACTTGTCAATGCACTAAGTCTCAAGAGTACAGAGGATCTCTCTTAAAGTAGAAAATTGTGCGTAGAGTCTAAATGAGGAGTTTAACCCTTATTTATAGGTTCTCATATACATGATATCTCTATCTCTAGATCACATTATGAGATAAGCTTCTTTATCCCCTTTTTAGATAAGGATTTACTTAACTTTATCTCCATATTTAATTATTTGATTTTAAATACACGGTTGTAGATGATAATTCATATCTGGTCTTTTATTTAAATTTGGATGTAAAATGAGGGTTATCCTCTCTTGATACTGTGGGTTTTGGATTAATCTTGGCTTTTTTCCGGACTTGTCAAATCATCCATGTAGATATCTTCTGATCATTTTGAGACTTCTCAACCGCAATCACTAGCTGCATAAGAGTTCCTCAACCTAAGGATCTTTCCTTTACCGATATCTCTTGACGGTTAAGCTTTATCCTGACTTTTGGAACACTCGACGACTTTGTTTAAAGGAGTGGTAGGAAATCTCGACCATGGTGCAACATGAGGTAAGGAAGGTTCATTAACCTTCTTTTACCCCTTCGCTTATAATTTCATAAGTTTTCAACTAATTAGGCAGACAACAAGTGCACAATAATTTCAAGTGTCATGATAATTGCAACAATTACAAGATATGATTCAACTTGATCAATTTCATTTGAAAGTTTCAAGTCATCTTTAGTCTAACTAACTATTTCTTCTTCTTCTCAAGTTTTGTGGTGCACGGCTACATGGATCATCTTATTAGATAAGTTTCATCTTGATCAATTTCATTTGAAAGTTTCAAGTCATCTTTAGTCTTACTGACTTTTACTCTTCTTCTCAGGTTTTGTGGTTGGATATTTTCCCACCATAGATTGTATATGCGTTTTATAACAGATACTTTCATTCATCTCAAAAAAAGAAAAAAAAAATGAAAAGTTCATTCTTCTTTTTTCTTCTATACTTTAACTTATATTTTAAAATTTTCAAGTTTGAAATGATGTCCTCAAGAACACGTAATCTTATGATTTTATGTTTTTTTTTTCTTCTTCTTTTACATATTGTTTTTTAACATCACGTTATTTATTTTTACTTGTTATTTAAATAAAAAAAGATATTATTTAGTTAGATTTCTTTTCATCATGGATTGTATCTTTTTGATACTTTTATCTACTAAATATATATATATATATTTAAGAGAAAAATATATATATATATATTTGAGAATCTTATGAAAAATATTACATGCACAAGAGTTTACAGGCAACCGTAGTGTGTTTAATATATGAGTTCTACTACACTATAAATCTTTGATTTTAATTCTGTTATAATATTTTTTTCTCATAAAAAATTTAAAATTTAAAAGTCATAATAAAAAACTATAAATTGAACTCTAATTTAAATCTATATACCAAATGGGCCCTATAATTTTAAGGGAGAAGGTAGTAAATGATATTTTAAAACTAAATTAATTAAATAACATTTACCTTATAAGTGGTTCATTTATGATTAAAAATAATTTTTTCTCGTAAATCTTCTTTTTATGATTGATAAAAAAAAATTCTGCGTAAATAAAAATTTTTAATCACGTAAGTTATTTTTTATCAATTGTAAATGAATCATTTACTGTGTAAATAAATAAATAATAAATAATTTATTTATCACATAAACGATTATTTTTTTTAAAATAATTTTAGAATTTATTATTTATTTAATTTAATTTTTAAAATATGTTATTTACTATTTCTTAATTTTATTCCAGAATATATAAACAAACAAATAAATAAATAATAAAGGCAAAAATAAAACCCTCCTTGGCTCGCAATGAAGCACACCAGAAAATCCAATCTTTTAAGAAGCACAAACTGAATGCCTATCAGACACATTGAGACCTGAACAAATTTTCTACGAAATTCCTTTTGATTCTCTTAGCAACCAAACAGAGCAATGACAATTGGCGAACAAAGATAAAACATAATTCCTCGGCAACGAAGGGGATCGGTGATTCAAGATCTCGAATCAAAAACAAAGGGGACGATTTACGTTGGCCTCGAAGCCTCACGCGTCCGAATCAACGAAGAACAAGGTTCGGCTTCTTTGTCTCAAACCAATTTCTGTCCAACTTCAGACTTTGTTATGTAATATTTACTTAATTTTTATTACTATTATCGACCTTTTAAGATTTAGGGTTTAGTGTTACTTGACACAAAAAATTGATTAAACTCAAGTTTGGAAAAAAAAAATCTGCTAATTTGTGACTGAATCCGTGAGTCTCTTTTTATTTGAAACCTCTTTTTGAATTTTTTTTTTGTTTTTTTGTTTTTCTGTAATCTTGTAGTCGGAGAATGATTCGCCTCAAGTTGGAATGATAGACTGTATATAAGATTGCTAAGGAATATATTCGGATCTTGATTGTTCATATTGTTTATTCTTATTTATTTTGTATTCTTGTTTTCATCAAGGAAAAATAAAGGGTCAAGCAGGGTGGCACATTTGCGGGGAGGGGCGGGTAGGCAGAGTGGTTAAACCCCGCCCCGCCCCGTCCTGTCCCGCCCCGCTGACATCCCTAGGTGCGTGCATAAATATGGTGTCTTGGTTGGCTTCAATGGCTAATTTGTTTCTGTAGAGGCTTAATATTTATTTGCATGTTTTGTCACTTTTTCTGTAACTTAAGGGTCGTTTTTGTCTCCTAGTTCGTTTTTTTTTTTTTTGAATTTAATATAATTTTTCAGGTTTGAGATGAATATGAAAATAGAACTAGACCGCATATGATTCATGAAGCCTCAAAGCACATTTCTTTCCTTTTGATTTTGCACATAATGATGTTTCTAACAATGTGGTTAAACTAGTTGGTAGAATAGCGTCCATAGTCCATACTCACCTGTTGTTTCGAGTTTTGAACCGGCATTGATTTTGGGTCGTATCCCTCCTCTACCCCCCCTCCTCCCCTCCTCTCTCTCTTCCTTGTATCCCTATTTTTGTCTTATTTGTTCTTTCTGAACGTTTTGATGTTGCGGTTGATTGTAATCCCTATTTTTGTCTTATTTGTTCTTTCTGAACGTTTTGATGTTGCGGTTGATTGTAATCTATACAGAGGAATGATTGTGGCCAAAAATTTAAATGTGAACTGAATTCTCAACACAACGTGGTATCCAAAACATTACCAATGAATCATTTGACAACAAATGGTGAGGCTGGAATGAGTCTTCACAAACAAAAGGAAAAACTTCCACTTGAAGGTTTTAATGGAAGAGGTGGAAATTCGGTGCTAGATGGAAATAATGGTAGAAGTTGTTATGAAAATTGTGGGGAAAAAGATATAGCAGGAAGTTCCAGCTCTCAGCCTGATGTCGTATGTGTAAGTGAACCATTAGGTTTTCTTTTGCATTTGAGATACATGATTGTTGGTAATACTAACAGGGGTTCCATGTTCTACTTATAAATTATTAAATTTGGATACAATTGTGTTTTCGGCAGAAAAAGGCATGGCAGCACAAGGAAATGACTTTTCAAGATATGTATGAGAACCAAAACCTAATTGATGATGATGATGATGACGATGACAGTGACTGGGAGCCCCTGCAAAAAGTTGTGAAGTGGTTTTGTACCAATTGCACGATGGTCAACTTTGATGACATTGTCCATTGTGATGTATGTTTATGGTTTATGCTTCTTTCCGTTCATTATTCTCTAACATTTTCTTTCTTTTTCTTCGTCCCATCTTGTATTTGTGTTGTTGATTAAGATGTCAACCTGCAGCTGGTGCTATTACTACTATCTATTGCTGCAAAAGCTTTGATTTTCTAAAGATAGCTTGGTGCCTTTTATTTCCTTCTCATGTAGGTATGTGGGGAACATAAAGAATCTGGAATCCTGAGGCATGGCTATTTCGCCCCTCCCTTGTTACAAGACGCAAATCTTACTGTCTCAGAGATGGAAACTAAAGAACGGCATGAAGGTGGGTACATATGATTTGTCATAGGTTTATCTAGTGTTTACCATTTTTTATGCTCAAAGGTTTCTTCCATGCGATGCTTCTTGTATATGATGATGCCTTTGGATGGAAACCTGATGATGTTCTGATTGAAATTAGATGGATGTCTGCTGCTGCATATAATGGGATCAGTATCAATGATGTCATACAAAAATTGTGTTACTAAATACATAGTACCGGGAATAAAATAAAACAATAAAATTAAAAAAAAATATTTTTGCTATTCCATATAATATATTGAATAATAATTCATTTCAATGATGTCTTATTCTTGAGCTATGCTAGTTTTTATTTATTTATTTATTTTTTTAATTTGTTTAGTCTGTTTTGGTTTCATGTGGTTTGTTTGTCGTCTTGCATTTGCAAGCACCCTAGATTTCAGTGTCAGCCTGAGTGCAGTGATATACAGACTAACTATACAGGAATCAAGAAAAGAGATAGTGTACACTTTTGGAACATAATGAAGTCATATTTAATTTTTTTATCATGAATTGAGTTCTCCAAGTGCTGCTATAGTGGTTTTATCTATATGACTATTATGTTTTATTATGTACATGAAGGTACAGTATAGTTAACTTATAATTGATATGGATAAAATGAAAATATTGGCAATCCCGCTATTTTGTTAATGTTCCCTCTTATAGTTGGTACTGCTGATAAAATGATGGAATTTATGCACTTTGTAGCATGTCGTGATTTACATCCTCATATAAAATTGTACGGAATTCATAAGTTGGATTGATTCAACCATAACTTTTTTTTCCGTTGTCCACTGCATGTAGATGGGACATCACAAAATTCGGCTCTAAGCAGTTCCACAGCAATAGGTTTTGATGAGAGGATGTTGCTACACTCTGAAGTATGGTGCTTCTGCTCTACATATCTCCTTACCACTATATGTTTAATGGGTTTCTCATGTATTTCTTGTTCTTAATTTTTCTTCTTAGCACAGTAATTTCTTCCTATTCTTACTCACATACACATACATGGTCTGCAAATTTGTTTCTTATGATATGTTTTAGCAAAACACGTGAATATGAAATGGTAAAATTTGAGCATTATATTATTATGGTTTAGCTGTTTTTATCTAGTTGTGATGTTTATTTTGGTGTTATCATTTCTTTTGTGTTCGGGGGAGGTGCATGGTATTTTCTTTAGAATGACTCCATAATTGAAAATATTTCCTCCCCCGTGTGTATATATGCTATCAATATCTTTGTTGATGTCTGTAGCAAATCATGGAATTTCGTGATTGCTGCCTATGTGATATGTATGTCCTTTCTTTCTGATTGTTATCGAGCACTTATTAATTATTCTAGTTCTTTCCTTCTGATTCTTCTCATGCATTTATCATTTATTCTAGTTTTTTTTTTTTTGTTTTTTTTTTTTCCTTTCTGATTATTGTTGTGCATTAATCATTTATGCTAGAGTAGGTTGAAATGAAATCCCACCCGCACCCTGAAAGACCGGATCGTCTCCGGGCTATTGCTGCTAGCCTTGCTAGAGCTGGTGAGTACATTTCGATTATTTTAGTGTAATACCTATTGGCTTGACAATAGCTTATATTCACTCGTGGACAGATCTTATCTTCATCAGCTTCATAGCCAATAGCTTATATTCACTCACGGACAGACCTTATCTTCATCAGCTTCATAAATAATAAGAAAATATAACATTTTTGCAGGTATATATCCTGGAAGATGTTATCCAATCACTGCTAGAGAAATTACCAAAGAAGAACTTCTGATGGTCAGTAAGAATCATTACTTGGAGGCTTGTGGTTTCATACTTAGGAACCTGCATTATTTTGATAAGGATTTTGTCCCAGTCAGGGAACAAGCATTCCACTTAGTTTCACAATTCTTATATAACGGGATGAGGGTTTAGTAATTGAGTTCACTTCATAAGAAACCTTTTTATTTATTTTTCTATTTTGTCATACCAATCTTATAAGCTGACTTTTGTTACCTAGTTCATTCACCTCATCCTGGGAAGTAACTTGCAAATCTCCTAATTATTTGGCATTTCCTGTTGGAACTAAAGGTCCATTCCTTGGAGCATATTGAAGCTGTTGAACTGACAAGCAAAATTTTTGCTAGGTATGGTAATTGGTTTCTCTGTCTCTTATCCTTATTTTAATCCTGCGTAGTAAACCTACACATGTGTGATCCTAAAGCCTTTAACTAGTGATTGTTCCTTCCTTTTACCCTGGATCAAATTGATATGAAGTGACTTTAGGTGTGGTATAAATCACATTTCTTTTAGATTTGGTATTTGATTTATCATATGTGGGATATCTTTTTGGTTATTTCCTTTTGTTTCTGCAGTTATTTCACTCCTGATACTTATGCCAATGGACATTCAGCATGTGCTGCTAGACTTGCTGCAGGTTTATGTGCTGATCTTGCTTCAGCCATTGTTTCTGGTCGTGTCAAAAATGGTTTTGCCCTGGTAGGAGAGCTTATGCCCCTATTTGGTGCTCTGAAGTTATGTGGAAAGCTCTTTGGATTGGAATATCTAAATCTACTGACATTCAATGGATGAATCAGGTTCGACCTCCTGGTCATCATGCTGGTGTGAAGCAGGCCATGGGTTTTTGCCTTCATAATAACGCAGCAGTTGCTGCATTAGCAGCTCAGGCTTCAGGGTCTAGGAAGGTGCTAATTCTTGATTGGGTAAGGCTGATAATTTTTTGCTTATTTTCCATAATTTCATTTATTAGTCTCTTTGCAATATGTATCTGTTGTTTTTTTGTTTTTAATTTTCTGTAGTGACAGATGTTGGCCGATATTGTTGCAGGATGTTCATCATGGAAATGGTACCCAGGAGATATTTAAGCAGAACAAATCGGTGAGCACCATTAGAATTTAATTTTGATCTCACTATGTGCATCAACTATTTAACTCAGTCCTCATTTTTAGTGAAATGATTTGCTGGAGGGGAGGATATGGTGTTGGCTATATCACTTATGTATTTGGGATGAAGAGTAAGCTAATCGAGTGTTGTACTTATGACCATCACAGTTTCATTTCTACGGGTAGTAGTTGCCCATTTCACTACCACAAAGTATCTCTAAAAGCTTCAGTTATAATAACTATTCTCTGTTCCCACTCATGGGATAATTTGTATATACTTTATCCTTTTAAGGATTCTTTGACGAAACCTCTCTTGTTTATCTAGAAATTCTAGGCCGAAGGTTTTCAGTTGAGGTTTTTTATTTTTGTATTTTTGTATTTTTTTATTTTTTATTTTGACGTATTGCTCATTTTGCAATTTTTCAGTGCTGATGTATTAAACCTCATATCTAGGTCTTGTATATATCCTTACATAGACACGAAGGAGGAAAGTTCTATCCTGGTACTGGGGCTGCTGACGAGGTACAAGCCAGATATTGTTATTCATTTATTTAAGAAAAAAGTTTAGTTCATTAGTAATTTTCTTTTTCATTATTTCGGTCAATTAAACTGCTGTTGCTAGCCAGTTTTACCTTTTCATGTATAATCCTAAGCAAATGTTACAACCTTGCATTGAGTGACAGACTTTGAGGGAACTATAATCTATATAGGTGACTTCGGAATAATCTTGTGATTTTATTATAGTTAGCTCCAGAATTACTTATTTTTCTGAATCAAAGTGTGTGCGCTTCTAGTACACACCTAGTTTATCAGTAATTCTGGTTTCTGTGGATTAGTATCTGTTTTTTCATTAAACTTCAGTGTATTTTTTCTAGTCATTTCATCCCTCCTTTTATTTCTTTCAACTTCTGGACTTCTGGTTTTAGACTAAGTTTTACCTGCTTTGGAGTCGATCTTTGTTTTCTAGGCAGTTTATTCATTTCGATTATAACTGGGTATGTGATCTTTTCACTCTTTAGGTGGGTACAATGGGTGCTGAAGGATATTGTGTAAACGTTCCATGGAGTCGTAGGGGAGTTGGTGATAATGATTATGTTTTTGCATTTCAGAACGTCGTGCTTCCAATAGGTAATAATTTCCTGCAATTTATGTGTGTTGTTGAAGTATTTGTGAGAAGTTTGTAGTGGGAACTTAAAGCATCATTGCCATTTTTTGAATTGGGAGTTGACCGAGGTGGCATGTTTGAACCTGTTAATTAATTGGACCTATTTTGTGCATAGCATTCAGCTTAGTTTGCTTGGCCTTTTTTGCCCCTAACTCGGTGCAACTAACATGTGGATTGTGCTGATAGAAATCAAATTGGAAATCAAATAGAAATTGAAAGAAACAAATGACCTTTGATTCGAGAGTTAAGCCACACCTCTCTAATAATCTCTAATCTACTGCTAATACTTTCCAAAACATGCATGAGAAACCCTAATCTTCCCCTAACAACCTTCTTAAACTCAGTCTCCCACTAATGACCTTGTCAATTTACCAAACTGCCCCTGTTCTTAATTCTTAAACCTACGCCTATAATACGTTTTCAGCCCCTCCCTTCCAAGTCTAACATTACTCCCCTCCCAATGAGACACTGATAGATTCAAGGTATCTAGTTCACGAAATTGAATCAAGAAAATGAAAGAAAGAATCTTTATTGAATTATCCACAAGATCTACACCAGCGGTTTCTTAGAAACCGATAGAACTCTCCTGCTTAGCAGAATGCCAAGACTTCCTATGCCTTACTCCAATCTTTGCCTACTTGGCCATCCAGCTTGTCATGCTATAATACATGCTATTTATTACTGTTTCCTTATTAACTATATTCCCCTGTACCCGCTCCCATAATAGCCCCCGTAGGTCTATTCACAAAATAACCCCCGTAAGCCTACACAAACACACTACACACTCTCAGATCCCTGACCACTACCCCCACCCTTCCTTACGTAGACCTGCCTAAGCAAAGGCTTATCAACTACTCCGCCCCCCAAAAGAGTCACCTTGTCCTCAAGGTGAAATTCAGGGAACTGCTGTTGAATGACATCAAAGAGCTCCCAAGAGGACTCAAAATCCGGTAAGTGACGCCACTGAAGTAGAACCTCCAACTGGCCGGTAACCTTAGAAAAACGAGTGGCCAATAACCTCTCGGGCTCCACCCGTAACTCTAAATTTGATGCCAAAACTGGCGGAACCTCCTGAGCCGGAATAGGCGCGCCAAGAGCTTTCTTAAGTTGCGATACATGGAAGACCGGATGAATTTTGGCGGCCACAGGCAATTGCAACCGATATGCCACAGCCCCGATGCGAGCTACGTCCCTATAAGGACCATAGAACCGCGGAGAAAGCTTTTCATTGGAAAACTTGGCCAGCGAACGATGGCGATAGGGCCTAATTTTTAGGAACACCAAATCCCCCACGTCAAACGAAACATCCCGACGCTTGAGATCTGGATTCCTTTTCATTGAATGCTGCGCCTGAAGCAAATGGCCCTGTAGCTCCTCTAAAATAGCATCCCTAGCCTGCAATTGCTCCTCCAACAAGTAGTTAGCCGTGGAACCCAACTCAAAACATAGTAGCCTAGGAGGATCGCGACCATATAGTGCCCGGAAAGGAGTCATTCCCGCGGACACATGGAAGCTTGTGTTATACCAATATTCGGCCCAGGCTAAATGCGAAAACCATTGAATAGGCTTCCCGGAAACAAAACAGCGTAAATAAGCCTCTAAACACTGATTCACCACCTCCGTTTGGCCATCCGATTGAGGGTGGTAAGCTGTACTATGATGTAGGGAAGTGCCCTGTAACTTAAAAGCTCCTTCCAAAAGTGGCTGAGGAACACCTTGTCGCTGTCGGACACAATAGTCCGAGGGAATCCATGTAGCCGAACTACTTCTTTAACAAACAGGGCAGCCACCGATTTTGCAAAAAAAGGATGGCGAAGACCCAAGAAATGAGCATACTTAACCGATCAACCACCACAAGGATTGAGTCATTTCCCCTTGATTTTGGCAGACCTTCCACAAAATCCATCGAAATCTCATCCCAAACCAAGTTCGGCAGAGGCAATGGCTGTAATAACCCAGCAGGAGACAAGGTCGACGCCTTGTGCTGTTGACATACTTGACAGGCGGCCACAAAGGAATTCACATCCTGTTTCATGCCATACCAAAAGAATTCGGAGGACAATCGTTTATAAGTTTTCAATACTCCCGAATGTCCCCCAACCTTATTGTCATGGAATTCGCGCAAAAGGATGGGTATGAGAGGAGACAGCCGGGGCAGGACCACCCGCCCTTTGCAAATCAACAAGTCGTTGCATAAAGAAAACCCTTTCACCCCCTTCGGGCTGCCCAGCAACTCCGTCAAAATTCCTGCCAGTTTCGGATCACTCAACTGTTGCTGTCGAATTTCAGCCCCATCATACAGCGCAGAAGTGGTGATGTGCATCAACTCCAACCCCGAAGTCCGCCTAGACAATGCATCAGCCACGCGGTTCTCGGACCCCGGTTTGTAATGGATCTCAAAGTCATAACCCAACAGTTTGCACAACCACTTTTGGTGCTCCTCCCCCACTAATCTTTGCTCCAACAAGAATTTTAAACTTTTCTGATCAATGTGAACAATGAAATGCCGCCCAAGGAGGTAATGACGCCATTTCTGGATGGCCAACACCACAGCCATCAACTCGCGCTCATAAACAGACCTGGCCCTAGCCCGCGGAGACAACACCTGGCTAAAGTAAGCTATGGGCCGCTGTTGTTGCATTAGAACCGCGCCAATCCCAAAGCCGGAAGCATCGGATTCTACCACAAATGGTTGTGAGAAATCCGGCAATGCTAAAACTGGGACTGTAGTCATGGCCTGTTTCAATCTTCCGAAAGCAACCTCCGCCAATTCATTCCAATTGAAACTGTCATTTTTCAATTGTTGTGTTAATGGCCATTGAAGATGACCATATCCCGTCACAAAACGGCGGTAATAACCGGTCAAGCCCAAAAATCCCCGTAGCTCCTTGATAGAGCGGGGAGTAGGCCAATCCAACATAGCTTGAATCTTATTGGAATCGGCCGAAACCCCCTCACCGGAGACGATGTGACCCAAATACTCCAATTGACTTTGGCCAAAAGTACATTTTTTTTTATTGACAAATAATTGGTTATCTTCTAAGGCAGTCAACACCACTTCCAAATGATCCACATGTTCCTCCAAGGATTTACTGTAAACCAAGATATCATCAAAAAAAACTAAAACAAACTTCCGTAAAAAAGGTTTAAGTACCTCATTCATCAATGATTGGAAAGTGGCCGGAGCATTGGTTAACCCAAAGGGCATAACCAAAAATTCATAGTGGCCCTCATGAGTGCGAAAAGCTGTCTTAGGAACATCCTCCATGCATATCTGAATTTGATGATATCCCGATTTCAAATCCAATTTGGTAAAGATTGTAGCCCCAAACAATTCATCCAATAACTCCTCAATCATCGGTATAGGAAACTTATCCGGCACTGTAGCTTTGTTGAGAGCTCGGTAATCAACGCAAAAACGCCAACTCTCATCTTTTTTCTTTACGAGAAGCACCGGACTAGAAAATGGGCTATTGCTTGGTTGTATGATCCCTGCCACAAGCATCTCCCGTACCAATTTTTCAATCTCGTTTTTCTGAAAATGAGGGTACTTGTAGGGTCTAACACTAATGGGAGAGGTGCCCCGTTGTAAAATAATACGGTGATCACACAATCGGTGAGGAGGAAGTCCATCCGGCATGTTCAAAACACGTGGATGAAGCTGCAGTAAGGCACTGATCTGGGCAGGGAGTGGCTGGTCCTGTTTGTTCTCCACGTCCAACGCGTGTAACTCCAAATAGATGCCTTGTCCCTCATGTCTAATGGTCCTAAACATCGCTTTAAGGGAAACTATAGTAGTAGAGAGACTCATGTCACCACGTAGTGTAACCACCTCTCTCCTAATCTGAAACTTCATCAACTGGGACTTCCAATTCACGTGCCACTGCATGCCTAGGATAACATCCACCCCCCCCAATTCCAATGGCAAAAAATTTTCTATAATGGTTAGTTGCGGTAAACTCAAAGTCACTTCTCGACATAAACCCTGCCCTTTAACCGACTCCCCCGTGCCCACTTGCACGCCAAATCCAGCCGTAGGAAAAATTGGAATGGATAACTTCTCAACTAAACTTAAGGAATTGAAATTATGTGTTGCTCCAGAATCGATTAGTACAATTACCTCTTGTCGAGCAATCATTCCGCGAATCTTCATAGTTTTTGAAGTTGATAGGCCAACCACGGAATTCAATGAAAGCTCAATAAGCTCGGGCTGCCCCTCCTCCCAAACAGTCTTATCCACATCGTCTTCTTCCTCCAAACATTTTGCGGATTCATCATCGCTAACCAACATAATCCGAAGCTCCTTCCTCTTACAACGGTGACCAAAGTGAATTTCTCGTCACACCTAAAGCACAATCCCTTGTCTTTCTTCTCCTGTAATTTGGAGTCTGACAACTTCCGAAAAGGAAGATCTCATTTTTGAGTTGCTATTCTATCTGAATTGGCTGGAGCTCGCTGGAATCTGTCTATTCCCGAATTTGGTCTAGCAGGAAATGTTGGTAGTTCCGCTCGAGGGCTTCCAATGAATTGTGGCCTCGTCACCCTTGGTACCGCCACTTCTCTACGAAGCAACTCATTTTTTTCTTCAATTCTCTGGGCGATTTCCATTATCTCACTCAATCCCTCCGGTTTCAATAGCCGTAACTCCGCCCGAACTTCCGCCTTTAATCTGTTAATAAAAATGCCCTCCAAAATCTCCTCAGGCACATCTAGGAGTGGAGCTGCAGAAACTTCGAATTGTCTGCGGTATTCCGCCACGGTTCCCTCTTGCCGGATTGCCAAAAATTTCTCACAGAGATTTCCTGCCTTTGATGAACGAAACCGCTGCAAAAGAGATAGCTTGAACTCTGCCCATCCATGAAAAGGACGGCGACCATTCTGCCACTGGAACCAGGACAGGGCGTCTCCTTCCAAAGCAATCCCAGCAGTAATCAATTTCTCTTTTTCTGAGCAGCGGTTGATA